AAGTACCACTTCACAAGGCTCACCAGGCCTAGAGAGCAGGTCTTCTCAGAGTACGCAATTACAAGTCTCAAGACTATTACTCCAAGAACTCTGATGAAGAAGCAAGTGCTCTACGCTCAATATGTGGTAAGGARAGAAGATGGAAATTTTTATACCTTCACCGACGCAGATCTTCACAACCTCTGTGTGTTCGACCTCATCTATATGTACAAGATCTTAAATGTCTACTTRGAGAAGAGGTCAACCTATTCTTTGTCCCTCGAAAGGCTGGTACAGGTTATGCGCGCTCAAGTAAAGTTTTACAGCCAGAAGGATTTTGAAATAGCAGTAAGGTTGATACAGAAGGATCTACGAATTTCTCCTCCACAGCGCCGGCCTAACTGGATCCACAGGCGTCATCCCAACACCATTATTCACAGACCCTTGTTTGGATTTGTATTTTTGGACAAAGATGAGATCCTGCGAGTCTATGATCCTACAGAAGCTCCTCGTTATTCAACAGAGACGTTGGAGTGGATCTTCAAGTGTGCAGTAAAAGAGGTGGAAAGAGGTCATCTAAGGGAGGCAGAAGTGGCTCGCATCCTGGAGTCGATCAAAGTGCAAATAAACTTCAGAGAATGGGTCTTCACTGTCTATAGGCTGATCATGACAGATTTTCTTTATGCGGCAGATAACTTCCCAGAATCTGTAGTTTAATTTTACTCCTCTGTAAAACAACTTTTGACATTTATGTTTTGTAACTCTTTTATTCCAGTCCTTGTAATTCATTTCAAGTAATTCATTTCAGAGGCTGATGTTTTATCACCTCTTGTAATTTCCTTTCAATTAAGTCATGATCTTGCAACTAGAGTTTAAATTTACTTTTTCATACTTAGGGGGAGATTGTTAGCTCTCATTCTTGAATGTAAAAGTACAGAAAAAGTAAAACAGCAAGTATTGACAGAAGCTGATCTGTCACAGAAGACCACASAGGACAATCAACARRAGAAGCTCAAACGTACAAGATTCAAGTGACAGAACCTCTGTCATCCATCACAGAGGTTCTGGWAACTTGTCCTCTGCAAAGACCTTGCTACAAGTCAAAGACGACAGAACCTCTGTCGTGTCTCACAGAGGTTCTGGAAGATTTCCTTTGCATGCTACAAAGTTTCATCCAGCAGAGCCTCTGTGATGTCTCACAGAGGATCTGCAGAAATGTCTTCTGTGTAGATTATCTTTAGCACGTTTTACTTAGGTTATTAGCTGCTCGTGACTTTCACGTGATCTTGTCTGTAATCTGTATTAGATGAACGGCTTAGATTTAATTGCTTTAGGTCGTGTCAGAAAACGGTTACTTGCCTGTATAAATAGCAGCGTAGGCCCTTGTATTTCAGTGTGCTTCAGTATTGTAATTGTCAATTTTTTCATCAATTGAAAATCATTTTGAAGCTATCTCTTGTGTTCTTCAATCGTCTTCCCTGTGTTGTTTATTGATTTCTACTTTGGTTGATTATTATTATTTCCGCTGCATTCGCACTGTTAAACAGATCATCCAAGTAAGTAATCTTTACCAAGAATCTGAGTTAATCGATCCTATCAAAGATTCAAGAGTTTACGATAAAGGTTCAAGAGTTTATATATATATATATATATATATATATATATATAATTTATAAGTACGTAATTTATTGACCACTTTTAAGCGATCAATCACAAAGTAGTGAACCACCGTTATGACTACAACAACTAGTTGTCCAAGAGTCAAAGAAAGTGAAATCCGTACCTTAAGCGGAATAGAGAAGTAAAGCACGATCAAACGGGATTCACGGTAAATTTCGACTTGCTCGCGTGCCTAACGAATGCGCAAATCGGTTATTACTTAAACAACGTAAGTTCATATCTTAGTTCTACTAATAAACTACTTAGTTCTTAAATGTTTATAAACAACTTAAACTTCAAATACGACAGCCGAATATGTATTACGAAATCGACGCAACACTTAGCTTTATATAATTCCGTTTAGACTTTAACAGCTTTTGACCCTCATTTTCGGGAACATTTTTATCCCATTTAGAGATCAATACAGAAAATACTATCTAAACAAAAGATGTAGTATGATATGAAATGAAACTACTGGTTCTCAAATCACCTCATTTGGATTATCCATCTATTTTATACGAATATTACAAAACAGCAAATCAATCCTAAATACATTGCAAACAACCCCGAAAACACACTGTTTCGAGCCACTTAGATTCATAATTGGATTTTCAATCCTACATAAAAGTTGTAGTATGCATTAAGGGCTTTCTAACTGCAAAATATGAGTTTATTTCAACTTACCATTTGTAAGTTATATATTGTCAAAGTATGAACCTGCATAGTCGGTAAAATCCGATTCCGCAATTCCCGACTAACTTTTATAATCCAAATTCCATGATTCGCTACATTTACGTGCTATAAATATGTTTCAACAAACTAAACCCTAAAATATGTCCAATGGTCGTTAACCTAAGCTTAATCATGCAATTTTACTMTTTTCGGCATTATAYCGAACAATGGGTGTGCGGTTAAACATATACACCAAATCTAACCATAATGAAACCATAATCTACACTTTCAATTTCTACATCAATTTAATCAATCCGATCATTCTAAACATGGAATATATCATACTTATAACAATATCTATTCATAAACTTAGACATAATATCATTTATAAATCAGTCTAAAAAAATGCTAACGTAAACACCCAAATAAAAATGAATGAAATTTATACCTTTATGAATGGTTCGAAGAGTGGATTCCGAATATGTAATCATTACTTCGATTGTTTCAACGATTTGAGAAATATCTTAGAGAGAAGAAAAAATTTAGAGAGAGAGATGAGAGATGAGGCGGTGATGAAGATGAAGAAGGATGAAGAAGAGGCCGATGTCTTTATATATATATATATATATATATATATATATATATATGTATATATATATATATATAATTATATATTATATAATTATTAAGAGTTTATAAGTTTAGCAGTTTTAACCCCTTTAATAATTATCAACCGTTATTTAAGTACGGTACAATTCGAGTAAGCTAACGAGAATGCATTTTAAAAAACTCGGGTCTTACGGATTTAGAAACAAGATATTCTGGAAAAAGACTGATTACTGATCAAATATATACATCAGTAAGACAAAAATCTTTTTCTTCACTATGCAAATGAATAAATCATTAAAGTTCAACGACCATTTTGTTTATTTTATTTTAGTAGCTAATAGAATAGCAAGTCCTTATAGTTTCCTATATATTTTTAGATAAATATATGTAATATCTTAAAATTTTGTAAGAAGATAAAAATGG